CTGCCCCCTGCTGGCCTGGTCTCCCGTAACTGCCCCCAATGCTGGCCTGGTCTCCCTACTGCCCCCCTGCCAGCTGGTCACCCCTCACTGCCCCCTGCATCCTGGTAATCTCCAACTGCCCCCCCCCACTTGCCTGGTTGCCCCCAACTGGTCCCCCCACCCAGCCTGGTCGCCCCTCACTGCCCCCCTGCCGGCTGGTCACCATACGCAGCCTGCTTGTTCACTCATTTGTCCGTCCCTGATTGCCACCCCCCCCCCCCACCGCTGCCCTGGTCACCCCACGCAGCCTGCTGTTCGGTAGACCGGTTGTTTTGGTCATCACGGTCACTGCCTTTTATATATATAGATGGAATTTGGTATCCTATGCTATCTTGTGTGTTTCTGGGTTGTCCTATATTGAGGATAACTCTAATCCATTGTCTGCATGGGTGTAAAACTTAAGTTTTCTGATCCAAATTATTCTAAAGAACTAATTTTTCCTTTTACCATCTTGTACTATGATTCTAACTTTTAATGCAAAGTTTATTTTTATCATATTTTCCTATTTATTTCTAAGTATCATTTGAACTTGAACATGTAATTATATCATCAATTTTATCTCACATTACTCAGTAACTGATAACAGCAGTACCAATTTTTATAAATATATCAGAAGAAAAAGGAGCTGATTATTTATAGACAGAAAGTAGATTTTGTCATGACTCTCCATTTCTAATTGAGAAAGCCCATTTTTACTAGTTCAAGTTTCTCTTTATTTAACCCTTTGTACACCTTAAGCATCTATAAATGCAAGCAGTGGACCTTCCCCACACTCCACACACATCTATAGCTCCAAACCTCGCATATCAACTCTGGTTGCCCAATTTTAAAATCAGACTTATTAGTGACATCTCTGGGTTTGTAAAGAAAACGATAGTAACTTAAATTCGTAAATATTCCAGTGCATATGGAAGAAATTCCAGTATCAATATATAGGGCTGCCACTCAGAAGCGCGAGAGATGAACACTGCAACACTTGAGATTTTTTTGTTCACTGTGACACGAGATTTGTGTTATAATGAATTTCATGCTTAAAATGGTAAACATGGTGTGCATTCCTTTTGTTTTTATTACAAATTTCTTCATTGGAGCATCAACAAAATTTAGGGTTTTCAAGGCTTTTCCTGTTGACGGTTTATTTTTTATTTATTTATTTATTTTTTAATTAAATATTTATTGTTCAGACTATTCCAGTTGTTCCTCTTTTTTCCCCCCATAGCTCCCCTCCACCCGGTTCCCACCCCACCCTCTGCCCTTACCCCCCAATGTCCTCATAAATAGGTGTACGATTTTTGTCCAGTCTCTTCCTGCACCTCCCATACCCCTTTCCCCTCCAAGAATAGTCAGCCCACTCCATTTCTATGTCCCTGATTCTATTATATTCACCAGCTTACTCTGTTCATCAGATTTTTTATTCACTTGATTTTTAGATTCACTTGTTGATAGATGTATATTTGTTGTTCATAATTTGTATCTTTATCTTTTTCTTCTTCCTCTTCTTAAAGGATACCTGTCAGCATTTCATATAATACTGGTTTGGTGGTGATGAACTCCTTTAGCTTTTCCTTATCTGCGAAGCTCTTTATCTGACCTTCAATTCTGAATGATAGCTTTGCTGGGTAAAGTAATCTTGGTTGTAGGTTCTTGGCATTCATCACTTTGAATATTTCTTGCCACTCCCTTCTGGCCTGCATGGTTTCTGTTGAGAAATCAGCTGACAGTCGTATGGGTACTCCCTTGTAGGTAACTGACAGTATTTCTCTTGCTTCTTTTAAGATTCTCTCTTTGTCTTTTGCTCTTGGCATTTTAATTATGATGTGTGTTAGTGTGGTCCTCTTTGGATTCCTTTTGCTTGGGGTTCTCTGCGCTTCCTGGTCTTGTAAGTCTATTTCTTTCACCAGGTAAGGGAAGTTTTCTGTCATTATTTCTTCAAATAGGTTTTCAATATCTTGCTCTCTCTCTTCTTCTGGCACCCCCATAATTCGGATGTTGGTACGCTTGAAGTTGTCCCAAAGGGTCCTTACACTATCTTCATATTTTTGGATTCTTTTTGCTTTTTGTTTTTCCGGTTGGGTGTTTTTTGCTTCTTCATATTTGAAATCTTTTGACTTGATTCTTGCAATCCTCTAGTCTGCTGCTGGAACTCTGTATAATATTCTTTATTTCAGTCAGTGTATGCTTAATTTCTATTTGGTCCTTTTTCATAACCTCGAGGATCTCACTAGATTTATCGGCGGTCTCATTAGACTTATTGAGGGTCTTACTAAATTTATCGGTGGTTTCTAGAAAATTCTTGAAAAACCTTATAACCGTGGTTTTGAACTCTATATCCAGTAGTTTGCTTTCCTCCATTTCTGTCATTTGTGACCTGTTTCTTTGTCTCCACATTTTGGCTGCTTCCCTGTATTGATAGAGTGGCTTTCTGTGCTAGGTGTCCTATAGGTCCCAGTGGTTCAGCCTCCCCAATTACCTGAGGTGGACACTCTTGGTGCTCCCCCTTTTGGGCTGTGCGCACAGTCTTGTTGTAGTTAAGCCTTGATTGTTGTAGGTATCACTGGGAGGAATTGACCTCCAGGCCAATTGGCTGTGAGAATCAGCTGTGTCTACAGTGGGAGAACTTCTGTGCTGGAGACACCCTTCTGGGGCAAGACGTGCTTCAGTGGGGCTTTGGTTTTCACTGAGTCTGCCCCCTAGTGTGTCCCCTATGGATCTGAGGAGTTGTAATCTGGATGGTCCCACTCTGACCACTGGGTACACTGGCTCTTGGATCTCTAAGGAGGTGCTAATTTAGCCTCTGCCTGAGGCTATCCAGCAGGAGTTATGGAGAGATCTGCAGATTCCTCTTCTTTGTTTGGGGTTTGGAGGTGCCCAGATGAGGCCCAGCTGTGATGCAATGCAAGCTGCTGTGGGGCCTTGGGCCTTCTTTTGGAAGTTCTGGGTCTCTCTGACCCAGCTGCAGTGTGTTAGGTAATTTTCAGATTGCAAAGGGCCAGGCTGTTCATATGCAAAAGCCCCTGCGCACAGCCTGGGTGGGGCGGGGTCTCAGGGGATCAACAGGGCGGAGCAAGCAGTGATGGCTGCTCCTCAGTCCTACCCTAAGAGGCCCCCGGTCTCAGTGTCCCGTGGGAATCGCTGCAAGCACCTCTGAGAGAAAGCTGCCCTCGAGTTCTGACCAATGCCAGACAGTCCAGTTTCTCCCAGTATGAGTCTGGGTCCCTAGAGACTCGCCCAGAACTGGAGTTCAGATCAGCTGGGAGCTTGAGACTCCCTCCTGAATGAAAAAGACAGCCGCGTCCTCAATTGCCAGCCCTTTCAATTTGCGCCTGCGTACCTCTAAACTTTACTTCCACACTGCAGCTCCTCTGAGTCTCAGTGTGCTTTTCTCTTTCCTTCTAGTTGTAGAATTTCCACTCAGCCAGCCTTCCTGTGGTTCTGGATGATGTCCCTTTTGTCTTTTAGTTGTATTTTTGAAGTAGTTGTGCATGGCACCAATTTCCGGTGTTTACCTATGCTGCCATCTTGGTTTCTCGATGGTTTATTTTTATTTCACGCTCGCTTTTGTTGATATTTCCGTAGAATTTAAAATTATCATTTTATTATTGAATTTATTGTTGTAATGTATTATTTTGTGCAAATAAAATTCAATCCCCATAAATGGCATCAGATGAAGAAATAATTGAACCAATCACCTCACAGGAAGAAGATGACATTCTTTATTCAACTCCAGAGTCAGATGATGTTTTTAATTAAATTCAAAATATCGTGGTGTGTGGGGATGGTTTCCGTTTTGGACACATGGCAGTTATCTGGTTAAGATGAACAATTTTGTAGCAGGGAAGGGGACTGGAATAAGCCTATTAAAGAGATGCAGTCATAAAGTACAAGACAAAGGAAGGAAGTCAATTTACGGTATGTGTAACTTTCTCTAGATCAGTGGTTCCCAACATGGGGCAACTTGATTTTTAAGTTATTAACAGTGAATTTTTTGCATTTCTTATGCAGTATATAAATACATATTTACAGTATATAAATATATATTGTGACATATTTATGCATTTCAGTTCTCTATTTTATGTTTTGAAACTTTATTTACTGTTTTTCATATTCATATTATTATTATTATTTTAATAGTTTCTTAGTGATTTCTTCCTCAGTAGTTCAACTATCCTTTCATTCTTTTCTCTTTCATGGATGCCATGTTCTTTGTAAGCTTGTTTAGACCAAGTTAATGGCCTTTTAGGCTTCCTCCATGTGAATAGTTCACTCTTTGAATAATAAAAATTATATGTCATGAGCGGGGGGAGCATCAGAATTTTAGAGATGTTTAGGTAGGGCATAGCCAAAAAAAGGTTGGAAACCACTGCTCTAGATAGAGGTAAAGGAGGAAAATAGAAATTGGCCTACACCTTAAAGTTAGCATGCATTAGCCATAGTCTCATTGAAAAATGTTGTGAGTCCATTATTTCAAACTTTCAAAAACAAAACACTTACAGTATAATTAGTAGCTTGAATGTTCCTAAGTGATGCTTCCAGTTGTGTTATCAAGAAACGTATAGTCAAAGCAGGAACTATTTCCTCCCCATTCTGGCTGTTAGCTGCAACTTCTCTCTATGCAAAATTATTCAGTTGAAAATGTCCTTAAGTTAGAATAAATATCTACATATTTTTATAAATAATACATTTTCATTGTAAAAAATTTGGAATACAGATATAAAGATTTCTTCTTTAAATCCACACAACCCAGATACAACTGTTTTCATACATGTTTTTTCTTAAGAACTCTGTCAAATCTTTGTAACTATTTCCTCAAAACACTAAAAAGCATTACTATGTCTGCCAAAGGGTTGGCAATATCCACTCTTACTTCAGAGGAAAGTGGTAATCCCAATTCATTCTCATATCTTCTGTGCCCTAGCATAACTAAAATCTTCCTTCCAACTCTGAACCTGTGGTAAGCAGGAATGCTGGCTTTAATATCAACACCAAGAAAAGCCATCTGATACTACAATCTGATTGGAACCAAGCTAATAAATGATTTATTATGTATGTTAGTTTGGTATTTACGCGGATGAAATGAATGACTATGTATTATGTTTGTGGTCATTCCCCACCGCCTTATGACCACAACTGCGTGGTTTAAATTACATTATCTGTTTAATGATGTACAGACAGTCCTCGGGTTACAGGTTACATCGGACTCGACATACGTCATTTCGTGGTTACATCGCCATCTCCCATTTATTTATAAATAAAAAAACTTCCGTCATTTCAACTTTTGTACATATGTGCTTTATGTTTTTTATTATTTATTTACCACAAGTAAAGGTCAGGAATTGTTATCTTTCTTTTAAATTTTTTTTACTGTTTCACTTCATTACTGCTGTGTATGTGCTCCATGTGAGTGACATAGGTGCTTATGAAGGTGGGTTCCGACTTTGGCGAAAATCACGTCATGTCACTCTGTACAAACAGATCTCTGACGTAACTCGAGGACCTATTGTATTATCTGTTTGGAAAGTTTAATCTACATTTTCTTAACTTGGTGTCTAATATACAATACTTTACTGTTGTTCTCCTAGCTAACTAGATGCTTAATTTCAGTCTCCCTAGCACTCAAGTTAATGAACCTCTTCTCCATCGACACACATTCCCTGGATAAATTAATCCAGCCATGTTTTTAAACACTGCATATACACCAAGATTTTCCAAATTTTTATTTCCAGCTCAGAACTATCACCAGAATTCCAGATTCATATATCCAGTTACTCAACAATATATGTTAATTTTGAAAAGGCATATAAAACATAACACTGAAGTTCCACCTCTGCCAAGCAGTCTAGATAGTTTCAGATCAATCCTCTCAATGACAACTAAAAAACTGAACAAAATATAAAAACTATTTATTTGAAAGCAATGGAAAACTATCAATGGCCAAAATGCAAGACAGGAAGAAAGACCAGAAATGTGAGACTGTTGGGAGTCACTTTTATCTTTAAGGCAACTGTTGTATTTGGTTGTGGCTGAGAGGCTGAGATGCTAGGCACATTTCTTAGCAAACTTGTAAAAGTAGGGGGAAAACTGAGAGTACATGATCTATCAACAGCAGGCCTAATAAACAACTCATTCTTTTGTTTGGGAACCTGAAGAAATATACTGTAAGAGCATCTGTTTTGATCCCACTTGGAAAAACACCCTAACACTAGGATTTAAATGCACATAGTTTATTTGGGATATGCCAAGGACAAGGGTAGGGGAGTGGAGAAAAGATACAGGAAAGTGAAAGCAGGCCTTAAATTAATGGGATATGTTATTAAACCAGTTACCCACAGTGGGTAACTCTAGTTAACATAACAGGGAAACTGAGAAACAGTAAAAATACAAACCACAGTATTACCCAATGCAAAAGGGAACTGAGGTATTTATATAACAATCCCAAAGTGTTTTCTAGGGTAAAGGGGAGTATTAACTCGTTGGGACTTTAGAACTGCTGAGTACAGCCTTCTGCAGTTCCAGAAGAAAAAAAAAAAAAAAGGTCTGAGGCATAGAGATGCAGATACTGAAAACTGGAAGTTGTCCAGAGCAGTGGTCACCAAGCTTTCAGACCTCACGGACCACCAATGGTCTGTAGACCACTAGTTGGCGACCGCTGGTCGAAAGCATACTGAAAGGACAGAAGTCAAGGGATATGGGCAGGGCACTGGCAGTACCTACTGCAAATGGTAAACCATAAATAGACTCTTCCTCAGGGAACAGAAGCTTGAAATGATCTCAGTCCTTAGTTGAATTAAATGATCTGTCAGAAAAGCACAAATAAGCATTACTAAGAAATATTTTGTCCAGTTTTTCAAGTTCTTCTGAAAGGAATTGCTCTAAACCAATCTAGGCAGCCACTGAAAGTTACAGAATTCTCTATGATCTTTTAGATCACTATGGAATCTGTATTAATGTCTTCATATTCACATTAATGATTTGGTTATTTTCTTGCCTTCTTTCTTTTTCTTTGAACATTCTTACTAGGCATTTATCAATATTATTGGTCTTTTCAAAAGAACAAGTTTTGGCTTTGCTGACCTTTATTATGTGCTTTATTCTATTTTATTCGATTTAGCTATTTTTAATACTTCCTTCTTTAGACTTAGTTTTTAATTTACTGTTCTTCCATTAACCTCTTGAACTTTTTATTTAGATTATTGGTATTCAACCTTGCTTTTTATTCTAACATATGAATTTCAAGTTATAAATATTCCTGAAAGCACAGCTTTTACTTAATAACACAGTTTTAATATTTATTTTTTATTCAGTTTAATAATTTATATAATTTTCATTATGATTTCTTCTTTGACCCCTAGGTTACCTAGGTTAGAGCTATCTATATATACTTGAGGCCCAATGCACAAAATTCATGCAAGGGGCTTGGCCCTCACAGCCCCGGCTGCCTTGGCCACCCTGCTTTCTCTGGAAGGTCGTCTGGACAGTCATTCCACTGTTCAGCTGTTAGGTTGATTTGCATATTATGCTTTTATTATCCTATATAATAAAGAGGTAATATGCAAATTGACTGTCATGCCCTCACACAGGATGGCCGCCCCCATGTGGTCACAAGATGGCCACCACAAGATGGCTGGCAGGGGAGGGCAGTTGTGGGCAATTAGGACAGCAGGGGAGGGCAGTTAGGGGGGACCAGGCCAGCAGGGGAGGGCAGTTGGGGGTGGACCAAGCCTGCAGGGGAGGGCAGTTGGGGGGGATCAGGCCTGCAGGGGAGGGTAGTCGGGGGCAATCAGGCAGGCAGAGGAGGACAGTTGGGGGCAATTGGGCTGGCACAAGAGCAGTTAGGCATTGGTCAGGCTGGCAGGGGAGTGGTTAGGGGGTGATCAGGCTGGCAGGCAAAAGAGGTTAGGGGCAATCAGGCAGGCAGGCAGGCGAGCCATCAGTCCCAGATTGTGAGAGGGATGTCCGACTGCCCATTTAGGCCCGATCCCTGTGGGCAGACATCCCCCGAGGGATCCCAGATTGGAGAGGTTGCAGGCTGGGCTGAGGAACCCCTCCCCCAGTGCACAAATTTCGAGCACTGGGCCTCTAGTTATAGATAAAAGCCCAGTGACCAGAACGGTGGAACAACCAGAAGGACCAGTGGCTATGACGCGCACTGCGGCAGCCAACCAGCCTGATCCGGGCCTTGATCAGCTCCCCTCCCCCCCACCAATCGGGGGCGGGGCCAGCGGGCCAACAGCCTGCAGTCGTTCCCCCCAGCCAGCCCATCCCCAATTGGCCCCCAACACCCCAAATCAGAGCTGGGGCTGGCTGGCCAACCACCCATGGACCCTCCCCATGGCTGCCCCCCCCCCCATTGGCCCCCAACACCCCGATCAGGGGCAGGGCTGGCCGGTCAACCACCTGTGGCCCCTCCCCCACGCTGGTCCAGCCTGATAGGCCCCCATCAGGGTGGGTCGGCCGGACCCCACCCATGCACGAATTCATTCACCAGGCCTCTAGTATATTTTAACTTAAGAATATGACTTTCTAGTTTATCTTTGTTATTGATTCTAAAATAATTGTACAATAGTTAGAGAACATGCTCTCTCTGTTTTAATTCTTTGGAATTTGATTAGACTTGCTTTGTGACTTAGCACATGGTCAATTTTTGTAAATGTTCTGTGTGCACTTAAAAAGAACATATACTCTGCCACTGTTAGGTGCAGTATTTACTACTATATGTAGTGTGTATTATATACACACACACATATATAAACACATATGTCTGTTAGATCAAGTTTGCTTGAGCTCTACTAATTTTGTGTCCATGTTCTATCAGTTCTTCAGAGAATTATGTTAAATCACACTAGGATTGTTGATTTATCTATTTCCCCTTTAGCATTATCAATTTTTGTCACTTTATCATACATAAAAGTTCTATATGTATTTGGGTCTATTTTTTAAATTTATCTTCTATTTTCTAGATTTGTCTGTAGAGTCAAGAGCAAGTAACACAATATTTTAGTTACTAGAGCTCCACAATAAGTTTTAACATCTAAGTGGGAAAACTCCAAGCCCTTTTCGACTACACTTTTCTTTCATAATTTTCTTGGCTATTCTTCCTTTTATTTCCCATTTGAACTTTAGAATAAGCTTTTAGTAATAACAAAACATCCTTTTATCATTTTTATTGACTTATATGATATTTATACATTTTAATTTCAGGAAAATTGACAGCTTTATCTATATTATTTTCCGAAATGTACTGCTTTTCATTCAGGTCTTCTTTTTTTTACTTTTAATGGAGTTTTAGAGATTTTAATTTATTGTTTTAATAGAGTATTGATTTCTAAACTTAAAGTGAAGAAAATCAGTGTGTGGGGGTACTTGCTTGCTAAAATGGACATTTCCAAACCTACCCCAGAGATTTAGATCCTTTAGGATTAGTATGGTGTTAAGACAGCCTCAAGTAAGTGGCTTAGGAAAATCTTGGAGAAATTCTAATTTATAATCTTATACAGCCCTTAGGTGTTTCCTAAGTATTTTATCTTTTTTGTTGCCATTATAAATAAGTACTTTTCTTTCATTTTTAACTTTAATTGGCTATTGTTTGCATATATAAAGGCTACTGGGTTCTATTTCTCATTATTGTTTCTGGGTGATTTCCAAAAGATAAGAGGAATATAGTGGCATTATTCCATCAATTTTAAACCAGAATGTATACTGTGGTAAATTACCTAAGTTACGGTTATAATTGTATATAGTCTTTGGATATTTTCAGAGTTTGATTTTTTTAAAAAAATATATTTTATTGATTTTTTACAGAGAGGAAGGGAGAGAGAGAGAGAGTTAGAAACATCGATGAGAGAGAAACATCGATCAGCTGCCTCCTGCACATCCCCCACTGGGGATGTGCCTGCAACCAAGGTACATGCCCTTGACCGGAATCGAACCTGGGACCTTTCAGTCCACAGGCCGACGCTCTATCCACTGAGCCAAACCAGCTTTGGCTGATTTTTTAATCATAATAGTATTAATTTGTCTTGTGGAATAATGAATGATACATTTTTTCACAGAAAAGGCAAATGTGACCTTTTCAAGATACCTATGGTGTTTTGCTCCTTTCCCGCCAATTAACTGCTACAAAAAGTAGATGATTTTCTTTAACTTTGGAAAACTCCATTAATTTAAAAACTGATACCCATCATGTGCTGAAAATTTCACATCTTATTATCTAGAAAAATGATCTGCAAGATAGAAATCTACAATATATTCTCTAGAATATTTATTTTACTCAAGTATCTAAAAGTTTTGGACATTATTTTTATTTTACGTTTTTGAAAAAATCGTCAACATTTTAAAAATCAGGAAAACCTAATGCACTCCTCTGTCCCAGAGTGGCATATTATGGTTAATAAAATTAGAATAAATACTAGACCTTATAATCAATAGCTTATAAACTACTAACCAACATTCCTACCATTATTCTTGAAAGGCTACCACCAAACTAACTCTATTTAACTAATAAAAGTCTACAGTCAAGGTTGACATTAAGCCCTTCACAAGCAATAAGATGAACACTTCAAGACTTTACCAATACTGTTGTGATTAAAAAAAAGAGTTATTATTAAAAGATAAGGCACATATATTGCTCTCTGCCCCAAGTTCCTGCTTCTAGTTGGTCTTTGAAAGCAGCTAAAATCCTTGGAATTTCTTAAGTGATAGAAGTGTCTTTTGTCCTAAAGACGTGACTTTTGGTAGGCTCCCAGATAGTGATTAGTCACCAGAAGAAAACAAGCCAAGATTAAAAGCTTGAAACTTTCAGCCCCATCGGGAGAGGAACTGAAATTTGAGTTAATAATTGATCATGCCTACATAATGAAGCAACCATAAAAATCCTAAAAAGTAAGGCGTTTGGAGAGCTTCCAGTTTGGTGAACATGACCACGTGCCAGGACAAGGGTACACCCAGACTCCACTGAAACAGAAGCTCCTGCACTCAGGACCCTTTCAGACCCTGACCTGGATGTACATCTGTATCCTTTATCATGAACTATACTGTGTAATAAAATAGTAAACATAAGTATTTCCCCAAGTCCTGTGGACTGTTCTAGCAAGTCATTCCAACCAAGAGGTGTTAGTACCCCAATTTATAGCCAGTTGGTCAGAGGTACTGAAGACAACTTAGGACTGGCGAATGGCATCTGAAGTGGGGGCAACATTGTGGTACTGGGAACTTAACCTGTGGGATCTTATACTAACTCCAGGTAGATGGTATCAGAATTGAAATGACTTGTAAGACACCCAGCTAGCCTTGGAGAATTGATCAGTGTGGGAATAAACCCTCACATCTAGTGTCAGAAGTGCTGTGAGTATGGAAGCAGTATGAGAGTAAAGGAACGTGTTTTCCTAGATAGTTACATACAGAGGGCTATACTTCTGCCCCAATGAACAAATTATCTTACCTGTACAGTTTGGAAAGAAAAATTTTCTTCTACAAACTTCTCAACGTAAGGGACCACACCTTTTGGTAGATTATTAACTGTACACAATAACTTTTTCACCTCTAATAGTAGGTTAACAGGCATAAGATTAGAAGGTATGTCCTTTTCCTGTTTATCCTAGAAGACATTATTAAAAATTTACACAATTATATTTGGCTAATATTAAAACCAGACAATGTATTTAAAAAATGAACAAATCACTATGATAGACTACAGAAAACCCAAATAAGATTAAGACATTCTTCTGCCCTCAAGGAACTTACAACATTATAGGAAGTTTAAGACCAAAACTCAAGATGCTTTCATATGAGGAATGTCATTATAAATTCATTTGAAAGTTATAAACAAAGTAGAAATTCAAAGAGAAGAATAAATGACACCTTTTTTTTAAAAAAAAAATAGGGTGATGATATAGGAAACATGAACAATTTTAGATGTAAGTATGAGTTAGGACTTAAAAAATAGTTGCTCTTGAGAAATACAAAGCATGCACTGAATTGGTAATTTAAAGCATAAAAAATGCTGAGTTTAAAATATTACAAAGATTATTCTACATAATAACATGAAAACTATTTCTAAGAATGGTTTTTACATTAGTTGTGAGGAATGGGTGGGCAATAGAAATGGATAAAGGGCCTGGAACAGATGGATGATGGCCTTCCTTCAAACCTTAACAAGATATCATAGCTTCTATACCCTGTTGAAACTTTGGGAAAATGAGTATGTTGCTACTGATCTCTGAATATCAGAACAGCTTCTTACTGCAGAGGCCATAAAGGGCTGAGTCACTGAAAATGCCCTGGCATGGAGTTACTCTGATTGTAAGTAGGAACCAATAAAGTCCATTCAGAACTATCTCCTTTCTCTCCACTTCTGGGTTTGAGTCTTTTTTTTTTTATTATTGATTTCAGAGAGGAAGGGAAAGGGAGAGATAGAGAGATTAACATCAATGATGAGAGACAATCATTGATTAGCTGCCTCCTGTATGTCCCACACTGGAGATTGAGCCCACAATCAGGCATGTGCCCTGACCAGGAATCGAACCGTGACCTCCTGGTTCATAGGTTGATGCTCAACCACTGAGTCATGCCAGCTGGGTTGGGTTTGAGTCTTAAATTAAGATTCCTCCATCTCCAACAATACCCAACAAATACACCTTACATTTAATAGTACTTCATTACATAAAAATTATATCCAAAAATACAGGAAAACATCATAACATTTCTAAAGGGTATATAAGTGCATGTTGTGCTACTCTTACTATTTTTGTAACTTTTCTGTTGGTTTAAAATTTCTCAAAAAGTAAAAAAAAAAAAGAACTTCCATAAACTAGATAAGCGATTATAAAGAATGACCACTAGCCCTGGCCAGTTTGGCTTGGTGGATGGAGCGTCGGCCTGTGGACTGGGGTGGGTCCCAGGTTCGATACCAGTCAAGGGCATGTACCTTGGTTGCGGGTACATCTGGTGTGCAGGAGTCAGTTGATCAATTTTCTCTCTCATCGATATTGCTAACTCTCTATCCCTCTCCCTTCCTCTCTGTAAAAACTCAATTTAAAAAAATATATATTTTTTTTTAAAAAGAATGACCACTATCACCCTGGCCAGTGTTGCTCAATGATTGGTGTCTGCCTGCATATTGAAGGGTCTCGGGTTCGATTCCTGGTCAAGGGCACATGCCTGGGTTGCAGGTTTCATCCCCGGCCCCTGGTAGGGACACATGTGTCTCTCTCACATTAATGTTTCTCTCTCTCTCCCTCTTCTATCCTCTCTCTCTTCCTCCATCCCTCTCTTCCACTCTCTCCTAAAATCAATGGGAAAAATATCCGTGAGGATTAACAACAACAAAAAAAGATCACTGTCAGTAGTATATATATTTCAAACTAAAGGTCAATTCTGCCATCAAAAGTCACCACAGAATCATCTAACACTAATTACCAAATTAATACACATAAATTCTTTTTGACAGAAAATACTATAACCATTACATTTGTTAAATATATCTTATAATAAATATAATTTTAAGTTATTTTTCAAAATATTTGATGTTTAATCCATTTTTGAAAAGTTGATTTGGCATCTAAATCAAATTCAAGTCAGTTTCCACCTCTCTTGCCTCTATATCCCACACCTGGACCTTGAAATGTTTTCTGAATCTAGTTCCCCTGGTTCAAATGTGCATCCCTAGGTACATTTGCCTATGTTGTGTTTACTGTGCAAAATTTGTTATGGTAATAACCTCATACAAGTAAATACTATGATTATTTTATGTTTATATATATTCTTTCATAAGTTACTGAATAACCTTTACAAACTTTTGTTGTTGTCAATCCTTGCCCGAGTATATTTTTCCATTGATTTTTAGGGAGAGACGGAAAGACAGAGAAACGTCGATGTGAGAGAAACACATACATTGGTTGCTTTCTGCACAAGCCCCAACCAGGGCTTGGGCCAGGGAGGAGCCTGCAACCAAGGTACATGCCCTTGACCGGAGTGGAACCCAGGACCCTTTGGTCCACAAGCTGATGCTCTATCCACTAAGCCAAACCAGCTAGGGCAGTGGTCGGTAAACTCCTTAGTCAAGAGAGCCAAATATCAACAGTACAATGATTGAAATTTCTTTTGAGAGCCAAATTTTTTAAACTTTGTTATTAACTTAATTAGGGTACTCCTAAGCTGGCTTTTGCTAAAAACGTCCTCAATCTGATTGAGGTACATTCGCTGAGGTCGACCCCTTCCAACTCTCCCATCCACACCCATCTTGTATACTTGTATCAGAAAGAGGAGTGTGGATGGGAGAGTTGGAAAGGGTCGAACTCAGCGAACTTACCTCAAAACAATGTACCTCCCCCGAGCTGCATATCCCGTCGCCCAACCGACCGACACCCCCCCACTTCTTCTAACGACACCCCCCCACTTCTTCTAACGCCACTTCTTCAAAATAGACTCCCCCAGGCTGAAAACTGACTTCTGAACATGGGCCACGAAGTTTCATTCACACTGTACGTGCACGCCTGCACGTGGTATTTTGTGGAAGAGCCACACTCAAGGGGCCAAAGAGCCGCATGTGGCTCTCGAGCCGCAGTTTGCCGACCACTGAGCTAGGGCCTATACAAACTTTTTAAGTGGATACCAATCGTTATATAAAACCTGTTCATCCAAACTTCATTGAATATAAACATGTGATATTCATATTTAATTAACCATAAAGTATATTATCATTAACAATAAAAGCCTTATATTAATGTATAATTTATTTTCATTCATTGAGTACTCGACTTTCTAACAGTAAAGATGATAAAAACAGCCCAGCTGGTATTGTTCAATGGTTAAGGATCAACCTATGAAACAGGAGGTCACAATTCCAGGTCAGGGCACATGCCCAGGTTTCAGGCTTGATCCCCAGTAGGGCCCTGTGCAGGAGGCAGCCAATCAATAGTCTCTCTCATCATTGATGTATCTATCTCTCTCCCTCCTTCTCTGAAATCAATATATCTATCTATCTATCTATAGATATAGATAGATATCATCATCTATCTATTTATAGATAGATGATAGATAGATAGATAGATATACATACATACACACACACACAGGGAAGAGAATTAACTTCAGAAACAACTCAGTGAATTTCTTACTAAATAAAATTTGGTGTGTGTGTGTGATTTCTTTTTATGTATATTGTTTTCATTTTGCTTGAATTTTGTTTTTAAAAGACAAATAAGAGATTTCTTAAAACCAACTGTTAGAATGTTTCTGGGCAAGTCAAATCAATTATCTATTAATTTTAACTTACAGTGAAGATTGGTGCATAGTATAACTTTGAGACACAGGTTATTATCAATTATCAAAGCAAGATTTAATTATGAGCATAATCTTATTTATTAAAATACAAAAGTGAACTTACCCTGAATTTTTAAAATAATTAATTAGATTTAACATTACACTACCTACTTTAGTCAATACTAATTAATTAACAGTTAATGAAATTTAAATATTCTCTTACCAGTTGATCAGTTAACTTTTCTACCTTATTCTTAGTTTCTTCCTTAGTCTCCTCCTCCACAGAAAGATCCCTATTTTAAATAAAAAAGAAAGGTGTATTCAGGGTATCTCCTTATAAAGAACATAATTAAATTTAGTAGTAAAAACTCTAACAAGTTAATTTTTGTCTGAAAGTTTCAGAAGTGTAAAATTGTGTTATCAAAGACTGATAAATGGAGGTAGGTGCCCTATCTCTTTAGGGACTCAAAAAAATTATGCCATGTCCTAATTGTATGTGGTAGAGAGAATAGAAAACTGATGTAAAGGAAACTCCATCTTCAAACAGACACATAGTAGACCAAAATAATGAGGAGAAAATTATCTTATAGCACTATTTCAATGTAAAGAAAAAAGGTTCTTGAAAAAGTTGATGTTTTGTTTTATGTAAATACATATGTATGTCTTTATGAAGATAATAAAGGGTTAGGAAGGCTCTATTAGATAGATCATTTTATTTTTTGTTTCAGGTTCCTAGCCTTACAATTGTCATTTTCCAAAATGATTTTTTAAATTCAGGCAGAATATAATATTTAGAAAACTGTCAACTATTTTTGTAAAAAGGAATAATTTGACAAGTTTTGCTTTTGACATTGCCTGAAATTTGAACATACGCAGTATTATATACTAAAATGATAATTTTATTCATGAAATATCTTTGTCTACAATGATGACACAGGACTCAAAATATAAGAACCATAACACAGGGTCATATATGATTTATATGATCTTAATTTTATATACTTGCAGAGCTAAAACTGAGGTGAGAAACTTCTATCAATTGATTTACTCAGAATTGTGCTTTATAAATATTACCCCATTTTACTTCACATTTATGTGCTCATTTGACAGAAAATCCTTTATCATCTACATTGTGCAAACTGATTTTTTTTTTTAGGGGAATGTGGGACAGATAAAAATACAGCATTATTCACACAATGAAAGTTTCAACAAAATATGATTCTTACACAGAAACAATGATTCTCAGTGCTCTTTAAAATGTCATGAAAAAGAAAAACCTGCCCTAGCTGGTTTGGTTCAGTGGATAGAGCATCAGTCTGTGGACTGAAGGGTCCTGGGTTCGATTCCAGGCAAGGGCACATGCCTGGGTCGTGGGCTCAATCCCCAGTAGGGGACATACAGGAGGCAGCTGATCAATGATTCTCTCTCATCATTAATGTTTCTTTCTCCCTCCCTCTCCCTTCCTCTCTGAAATCAATAAAAATATGTTTTAAAGAAAAAGAAAAACCTATTTACTAGTATTTCCAACTATCTACTGTACAGCTTCCATAAGAATATCTTAGAAGCATGTTAAGCTCACTCATTACCTGCCCTCTCTTTGCTTCACACACACACACACACACACAACCTGTCTCTTTTTGAGATCCTCATATTAGTTAGTGGTATAATTTCCTTCTGGTCATTAGGAACCTTTGAGCCGTCTCTACTTCTTTTACCCTTTTTCTCATATTTAAGCAGTCATAGAATTCTGTTTATTCTAGTTTTATGAACCCCTCCTTTCTTACTATTTCCTATTCCTAGTATTACAAGCTTCCATCAGCTTCTTCCCAAGCTATTACAGGTGTTGTATCTTGAAATTCCATTTCTTTCCACTATCAATAGAGGTAGTCTTTCCAAAATATAGCATAAAATTTCATTTGTCTTCTTAAAATGTCAATAGCTCTGCACAAAATAAAGCTAAACTCCTTAACAGGACAGTCAAAATGCTCCCCAATAATTTGTCTTAAGTACTTTTTCTTAGCCAAATAACATCCCATCTGCTCTGCTTCTACACCCATCAAAATGCTTCCTAGTCTTTAAAGTTCAATTCAAACAGTACCTTGTGAAAACCCACTCCACCCCAGACAGTAATTATTTTTCCTTCCTATATATAGCCTCAGCATCTCTAATATAACATTTATGTATGCATTTTGCCTAAATATACCTTTTAATATACCTTCCTACATTATAATTCTAAGTACACAAATTTTGTTTAGTCTTTATTCCCTAAGTATCAAGAAGGTCAGTAAATACTTATAAAATAAATAGATCACATTGCTTACTATATAAGATAGCCAAAGGTAGGAAGGAGATCTCCAATACTAACCTATTGTTTAGTATTATAAGAGAGAGGTATAGGCAGGCTAAACTAGTCCCTGATTGGAGGGACTTTTGGCCTGGCCCCAGTTGGCCTGGACTCATATGGATTTATGGCCTGAACCCAATTGAACCATTCAGTAGTCTTCTGTGTTATGCTTAAGTTACCTTCTATAAAATGAGAATAATAACAGCATCCACTTCATAGAGTTGTTATAAGGTTTATATGTTAACACTAGTAGCCCGGTGCACTAATACCCTGGTCTGTGCCCTGTTACAGTGCGGGAGCCCTGCGATCCATTTCCCCAAAGAGGTAGGCCCCGCTCACCCATCCAGGGCTCCTTCATGGATTGCCCCAAAGAGGTAGGCCAGAGCCGGAGGAGGCCTGCAGACCCCCGGGCAGGGCCACAGCAGAGGCCTGCAGACCACCAGGCCGGGCCACAGTAGGGCCACAGCAGAGGCCGGAGACCCCCGGGCCGGGCCATGGTAGGGCCACAGCAGAGGCCTGCAGACCCCGGCGCAGGTGCACGGAGAGGCCTCCACTGTGCCCTGCACCCGTCCTCAACTCGGCAAGTCCCTGCCCACCTGCGCCTGCTGCGCACGCAGCCTGCTGATTGGTCATTACGCGTGAGGGTATCCCAACCAATTTGCATATTACCCTATTATTAGTATAGACTAGAGGCCCAGCGTGTGATTGTAATCACGTGAGGAGGCACCCCGCCTTCCACCATGTGAGAAGGCACCCCGCAGGCCTCCGCAGGAGTCAGGTCTGACCAGCACCGCGGGCAGCCAGGAATTGTGCCTGACTTCCGCCCCAGGCCCCCACTGCCCCCCTACCTGTGTCCACTCTGGGGCTGCCCGAGCCAGCACTGCAGCTCAGCCAGCCCCAGGCCTCCCTGGACCCCCTGCCTGTGTCCGCGCCAGACTGCTAAAGCCGCCACGCCAGCTCAGGCAGGCCCCCGTCTGTCTCCGTCTCTGCTCCGGGCCTCACCTGCCCCCGCAACCTCCTCCTGTCTGGTCGTGACCCATTACGGTGTCCTTGACAAATTTGCATATTACCTCTTTATATATATACTAGAGGCCCGGGTGCACAAAAATTTGTGCACTCGGGGCGGGGGGAGGAGGGCTTGTTAAATGATATATATAATATTACATTATTGAAAATGCCCAAATATGACAAGCTGTGGTACATTTTTCAATTCTTGGCTCTTCAGCCAGGGTGTGGTCCTTAAATAAATTTTCTAAAATTAGATTTTACCCATTTTACTAGTACATCCTCCACTACTCAAAGTTGTTAAACTGTCCTGAAAAACAAAGGTATCTCATTCATACTAGCTTTCCAAGATTATATGGAAGAGACAAGTGTTGTATCTTTGGAATATAACAAATGCAGTTGGCTTTTGTCAATCCACCCCTTACCTCACAAAAAATTCTTCTGGAAGAGAATCCATGATGCACAATGTTCTTCTGCAAAAATCTTATTCCAATGCTTGCAGTCTGACTTCTACTACTGCTGTTTAAATCTGTAAGAAAAGTAGCATTTTTAGTGGAAATGTAGGAGGATTACATTCTTTCTCCCTATTATATAAGTAGTACATGATCATTAAAAAAAATTTTGAAAGTTTTAAGAGAAAACAAAAGTCACAGTTTCATCATCCAAACATAAATCACTGTTTACATTTTTTTAAAAATATATTTTATTGATTTTTTACAGCGAGGAAGGGAGAGGGATAGAAAGTTAGAAACATCGATGAGAGAGGAACATCGATCAGCTGCCTCCTGCACACCCCCCACTGGGGATATGCCCACAACCAAGGTACATGCCCTTGACTGGAATCGAACCCGGGACCCTTCAGTCCGCAGGCCGACGCTCTATCCACTGAGCCAAACTGGTCAGGGCTACATTTTAAAATACTTAATTGCTTTTCAAGCATAGGTTTATTTAACCAATTTGTAGTCATATTGAATAGACAATACTCTACACCACCTTTTTCACCACTAAACACTATGTCAAAAGCATTTTTGTTATTTTGTACCTCTGGTAATTATTCTCAATGGTTACACAATTGGTTGATTAGGGTTTCTTTGACCATTTCCTTATAGTTGAACATTTAGATTGTTTCTCATTGTTTTATTATAAGTGGTATTTTGATAAACTCCACTGTCCATAGGCCTTCTCTATATTTATGGTATTTCCTTATCATTTGCAACAGTATGGGTGGACCTGGAAAGCATTATGCTAAGCAAAATAAGCCAGTTGGAGGAAGTTAAATATCACATGATCTCACTCATTTGTGAAATACAATGAACAATATAAACTGATGAAAAAAATAGATCGAGACATAGAAGCAAGGAACAGACCATCAAACCTCAGAGAGAAGGCAGGGGATGGTGAGGAGGTGAGGTAAGAGATCAACCAAAGGACTTGTATCCATGCATATGAGCATGACCAATGGACACAGACAATAGGGGGGTGGGGGCATGTGCTGAGGGGCGGGAGTGGGTGGGAAGAGGTCAATGGGAGAAAAAGGAGACATATGTAAAACTTTCAACAATAAAGAATTACCAAAAAAATAAAGTGTTAATTCCACTTTCAAAAAAAAAAATCTCATTAGAATTCTTAGGTGAAAAAAACAAATATTTTAAGCCTCCTGTATATTGTTAAATGGCTTCTGAAAAGGTTTGTACTTATTTCCCACAAGTATAAAAGTTCATGTTTAACACAATCATGATAGCACTAATTGTTTTATTTTTCTTTTCGTCTAAAAACAAGTAGCCCCTTTATCCTTTATCCTAAAGTCTTATGATAGTACTGGTGGTCCCGTGCATGGTTTCGTGCACATTGAATAATTAGAAGAAATATTTTAATATTGCTATTTGCCCTTTCTCCCTCAGCACCTGTGAAGCAGCGGGCAGCAGCCCTGCGCCCCACCACCGATGCTGGCTGTGGTCACTGTCTGCGGGGTGATCCGCCTGCACCCACCTTGGCCTGGCACCGCCCGCTCACCTGCTCCACCATTGGGGCCGGCAGTGCCTTCACTGCCACCCGTGTTGCGTAGCCGATGCCTGCCATGTTCCTCACCGCCCCCTGGTACTCAGCACATGTCATAGTGACCGGTCAAACTCCCAGTCTCCTGATAGAACTCCCGGTCAACCGCCCGCCTGCCCACCCAAGGGGACAATTTGCGTATTAGGCTTTTATTATATAGGATACCTCCATAAGATAAGAAAGGTGATATAAAGAACTCTTGTCATACTCTCTGGTTCAAATATCAATGCAAGTTGTAGATGGTTCTTGAAAGAAAGAAAAAACTCTGAGGCAACACAAATGAAAACAAAAAGTGGGATAATATAGAATAGTATCATTAGCATATATTTTTATTCATATATCTCTCTATTTAACTATCCCAAGACCAATGCTTCTCTTTTACTGGAAGTTCAAGCCACCAGACTTCATTGTCTTCTGCTAGGCTGACTTGCCTTTCTGACCCCACTCCACTGTACATAAGCCCAGGAACTGTTAGAGCAAATATATATAAAACTATTTCTCAGTGCTTTGGGCAAAGTAAAAAATAATGAGGAAAAAAAGATAATGGCAGCAGTAGCATAAAGGAAACAGACCTAGAATGCCTTGGGCTTGCTACCAAGCACAATACTGGGTAAAGTTTCTTATCTGTTACCTCTGGACTGCTTATTTATCTCAGTAATTGGGTGGCTAGTTTCTCTGAAAGTATATTTAATATGCACCCATAAATTAGATCAGTAGAGCTTTTGGAGATCCATTATTAAAAAGCAATTCAGCACAGGTTATTCCCAAATCAAGAAAACATATTCCACAAAATGATTTGTAAGTCACCTATTAAGAATTCAGATTGTATTTAACTCAAAGAAATATATTTTACCTGATGTCCAGTCTCTCCAAAAGCCAGAAAAAGACAACACAAAGGCAAGAAGGAACTGCAGGACCTGAACCATCCTAAACCTTGAGATCTGAGTATCCTGTCCCTCATGAGCTTAAAAGGGAGAGGACAACTCAAATTCTTGGTCTAAAGCAGCGGTCGCCAACCTTTTGGACCTCACAGACCACCAGTAGTCTGCAGACCACCGGTTGGCGACTGCTGCTCCACAGGTTTCCTTAAACCAGTGGTCACCAACCTTTCGGACCTCACGGAACACCGGTTGGTGACCAGCAGTCTAAAGGCTAAAAGAAGTTCTGAAGGGATCATCTGCAAAGTAAGTATCCCTAATTATAATACTACCTATATTCTGTATTTGACCCACACCAACTCTAAGTTACACAGAAAAGTCTTGAGACAAAGGTAATTTAATGTTAGCTGATACTTCTTAATCAAAACACAAATGCAAAGATTCACACACATGCTGACTTCTATCTAAATGTCCTCACTTAAAACAGCTTTCTCACACCTCTTAGTTTCTTGCCCATCCCTAACAAAACACTTCTTGATGTCAGTATTTTAACTTACCTATTCAGAATCTGGTTCTCCTAGGTCTTCTTACTTTAAAACCTGAGTAAGCAAAGTCATATGCTTATTTAAATTTGCATTATGTTCAAATACCAGTGAAAGATACAACCTAAAGCTAATAATGAAGCAGAGAGAGGTTGGATAAAACTTGTTATTCTTTCACACTAAATCAGATCTGCTTCATCTCTTCAATACAGCTGTATAGAAAAGGAGATGACTTTGAAAATTTTAGGACTGTACTCAAACTTGTCTTTCTTTTACGGTTTCTATAACCTCCCTCAATATTCTAATTAAAAGTAACGGCATTATTTCATACCCAGAGCATACAAATATAAGCCTTTTCTAGACAATCCCCTCATTTACAGAAATTAAATGCTCAGACATGAGCATCTCACCCCTCTGATAAGCTTCCCTTCAGTCAGTTGCTATTTATACAGACAACGGGAAGACTAAAAAGAAAAGAGGCAAATCCTTTGGCAACAAGATAGAGAGGATAGAAGTTTTCTTCTAAACTATTCGATATTTAGTTGAAAAATAAAAGGGTGTAAAATTAATCAACCAGAAGATATTTGGATACTGAATTAAGAATTTTAAAAAAGGCGAATGGCTTTCTTTTCAGCCTGCTTAAAAATACAACCTGAGATGACTCTCTATGATGAAAGGTTTTCCAGGAGAGACCGACCATCAATCTCATCGTTTCCCTGGAGCTGAGCAGAAATGTGTGGCAAACCCTACCAGCAACAGCAGCATTTTATTGCCTCTGTTGGGAAGGAAAGCCTAAGTGCCTAGCAACAGAAAGGAAGTAGCCAGCCTAAAACATTACCACTGTTTCTAAAATAATCCAAAGGTTTCTAACAGTCTAGATGCTGAAGGAAACCTCTAACTCAGGGTTAACATGGGTGGAAGGGTAAATCTGGTTTCCCCTGGTATATTAATTTCAATAGACTTTTCCTATCAGTAGGAAACTAAAAACAAACTCTGCCTTCCTGGAACTGAGGAACTGCTCTTCTGCTGGAACCATTCAGATTTTGGCTGGTGGACCAGAGGGCAAGTTGAAGCTCATTGTCAATTTACAGCATATCTTTATCCACCAACCAAAATTATTTTATTTGCAGACTGTTTGAAAAATAAGGCATTACCATCCATATCTTGATAATAGTAAAATACCTTTTTTACTGCTCTTTCTGAGTTTCCAGCTTCCACTTTTCCTCATAGCTACTAAAATTATAATAAACTTGTTTTTTACTGTAAAGGGTTATTTTTCTCAACTTTTAAAGCTGTATTATTCATATCAAAGTAGGCATAGGACTTGTTTATAACTTTTAATCCTTCATCTAAACATGTACCTTGAGGACTCCTATAACCTCCCTAAATTGTATATAAATACATTGTTTTTAAATCCCCCTGACCAATTTACAGGTTCTGATTGGCCAACAAGTTTATATTTTAATGTGTGGGAAGATGTCCCATGAATTTGTTACCCTTGACTGCTCTGGCACTTACAGATTATACAGTGCCAAGTAAAAGAGTTGATTTTAATGTAAAAAGAAACAAAAATGGGGAAAAACAATTTGCTTTTCTCAATGCTATTGGTTTGAAAACAAAATAAGACACATGCTATTTTGCAGGACAGGAGTTTAGTTATTGAGAACTTTTCTTATGCTCAATAAAATCAGTTTTTCTCTTTCTTGGCACTACTGACATTTTGGGCTAGATAAATCTTTGTTATGTGAAGTTGTCCTATACATATGTATGTATGTATGTATGTATGTATTTAAAATCCTCACTCAATGGTATTTTTCCATTGATTTTTAGAGAAAGTAGAAAAGAGAGGGAAAGACAGAAATATTGATGTGAGAGAAACACATCGATTGGTTACCTCCTGCATGAGCCCTGACCAGGGCCTGGCCCAGGGAGGAGCCTGCAAAGAAGGTGAAGTGCCCTTAACCCGAATGGAACTTCGGATGCTTGGGTCTGCAGGCCGACACTCTATCCGCTGGCTAGGGCATTTTTATTTATTTTCCAATTGACTTTAGAGAGAGAAAGGGGAAGAGGAGAGAAGGGAGAGCAGGAGAGAGAGAGAAAGAAAGAGAGAGAGAGATTGGCTGTTTCCAGAACTCACCCCAACCGGGATCACTCCCACAACCAGGGCAAGTGCCAGGAATCAAACCCACCACCTTTTGGTGTATGGGACTCACCTCCAACCAGCTGAGCCATGCTGGCAAGGGCTGTCCTACACAGTTTTAGAATGTTGAGCAGCATCCCTGGCCTCTACCCAGTAGATGCCAGTAGCAACTCCCCCACTTCTCAGTCCCATTGTGGCAACCAAAAATGTCTCTAAACATTGCCAAATGTGCCCTGGGGGATAAAATTGCCCCCAGTTGAGAACTACCTAACTAAATAAATGAGTTAAAATGAAAAGGCTAATTAAATGAACATATAACACATTGTTCTAAGGAAGAAAAATAAGACCATCCTTATATTACATAGCATGTTCAAACAATAAATCACCTGTCTACAAGAAAGATAAATGACATAAAATATCTCATTTACATTCCCATCAATGCCAAAAATAAATTGAGAGGTTGTATAACTTCGGTAGTTACAAGCATAGAAACATTGGAATCAGTCTGAAAGGGTATATAAGCCTGCTTTGACACACAATAGCTGTGCAACCTTATGTAAATTAACCTCTGTGCCTCAGTTTCCTCTGAAAAATGGGGATTAACATACTTGTTTCATAGCGTTGTCATGAACAGTAGGTGTTTAAAACATGTAAGAGTACAGTATCTAGCACACAGAAAGCACTACATGTGTTCCTATCCTCACCATCATCATCATTTAACTTTTTAAAGTTTTCAGCAAAATTAGTTCACTTTTCTTTCAATTATCTACATTGGATAAATAGTATTATACAGAAAGGAATGGTAATAATGATACTTAAGAATTAAGACAAAAACAGTTTTTCAAATATATCCCACATGGCACAAATGGCAGCTTAGTTTGCAAGTTTGGCACTTTGTATTTTTCATATCAGCACATATACATAAGCCATATTCTTTAAAATGCATGATATGCCATTGTAAAATAAATCATATTTTTTACCACTACTGATAAATACTTAAATTGTCTCCATTTGTGTCTTGTTTTGGTGTGGATTTTGTTTTTGTTTGGCTATTACAAACAATGCTGCAATTAACAACCTTGAACCTAAACTTGCTAAAATTTTGATAGCTATTTTTAAAAGGTGGATTTACTAGAACAGCATTGAATTAAATATACTCAAGAAGTTCATGGATCTGTTAATAACACAAAATTGGACACCATTAGTGACAGATATTTATGAAAAGAATTCAAAAATCTCCTTAGAGTTGATGTGATGTTTTGATGACATATGAGTAGTAACAACTTCAAGGCTTAAAAAACACCAAACAAACAAAAAACAAAACAAAACAGGAATAGGACACTTTCTAGGAATAAGGCAAGGCATTTTGTGATGAGAGTTCCTTAAAACAAATATTTTAACTATTACTGATCAGATTATGTCTGCTAGAAAAGCAGCAACAGCCATCCATTATGGGTAGCTTTTAAAGTACTAAAGCAGGTGTTCTGTGACTCTAGTACTCTGAAAGTCATTATTTCTCATATGTTAGATAGCTTCAGATAAAAATGGCTATCAGATTAGACCCAAAGAATAACAAGCTGTATCATTATTTTGATATTAGCTGTGTTAAAAATGAATGAAATATATTGATCATTTGATTTTCTAATTTCTAGTTTCTTCCATTTTTGTATTTGTTTAACTTCTTGGCAAGGCTACAAAATGTACCTAGACGAGTGATCAAAACATTATTTTACCCTAAATAAAAAATATTTAGTTTAATCAAGCAAACTCCAGAATGGGTGCATGATGACCGGAAAATCTTTGCAAAATTATCAGAAACTAAATATATTTTCAAGCCCAAAAGATTAGGATATTCATTGTCCATCTCAGCTTTTGCCATTTAGCAAATATCACTGTTAGCACTACCTGGCAGCTTATTCCAGGAAACAAAACCTTGCAATGTATACCCACTGCCCCCTCCTTATAAATTTGCCAAAATAGGAAACATCCTTGCCAAAATTAGCATCTTGGCAGAAGCAGAGTTTTAATTCTTTTCCTATCTATCCACTCAATTCCTTTTACAAGTACAAAGGCAAATCCAAAGGGTATACATTAATTTGTTTTATTTGGAATGTACCTACAATTATGATGCATGGGTTAGGATTTACCTGAAAAAAAAATCCAGATATCAAACTATCCATCAGTTTCAGGTTATGTACAGCTAGCACTGCCAAAACAACACTGTTCAAAAATGTAGCTAGGAACTGTTGAAAGGAGCATCTGTTACCCCTAAGCAAATTCTCCAAAAGTGAAATATTTTCAGCAACTTAAAAATATTATGTTGTCATTACAGCTGTTAGACAAAAGGAAATAAGACAGGATGCTGAGACATGATACATGTAGGGATGATAATCAGACAGAGAATGGAGGATACCATATGTACTTAACTCCATCACCACCAATAACAAAGCACACTCTACCCAAATCCAACTTGATCCACCCATGTGAGAAAAGGTAGATCAAGTTTTTAGTTATAAAGAGTTTACATTCATATAAAATTAATGGGGGAGGGGGGACAGCCCTGGCCAGTATTGCTAAGTGGTTAGAGCATCAGCCCAGAAACAGAAGAGTTATGGGTTCAAGTTCCGGTCAAGGACATGTACCCAGCCCAGGCCAGGGCGCATGTGGGAGGCAACCAATTGAAGTGTCTCTTTCACATCAATGATTGTTTATTTCTCTCTTTTTCTCTCTCTCCCTCCCTCCCTTCCACTTTCTCTTAAAAATTAATGGAAAAAATATCCTCAGCTGATGATTAACCAAAAAAATTAACAGGGTTCATTAACTTGATTTCACTGAAAATAAGATTAATTTTCAATAGCTCCTATTTGCTGGGCTCTGGGCTAAGTATCTGTGTACATTGAATACACATCTAATCTTCACACAACTCTAAAAGATAAACATTGCTGTACTAGAGGACCAATGCACGAAATTCATGCACGAAATTCCTGTCAGGGGCACATGTCAGGTTGCAGTTGCGGGCTTAATCTCCAGTAGGGGGGATGCAGGAGGCAGCCCATCAATGATTCTCTCTCATTATTGATGCTTCTATCTCTCTTTCCCTCTTCCCTCCTCTCTGAAATTAATAAAAATATATTTTAAAAATAATAATAATAAAAATGGTAGGGAAAACATTTACCAAAAATATCCAACTCAACCCCGAGTTGATTTCTGTAAAATGTATAGGAAAAAAATCAGAAATTGTTTGAAAGTTAGATTATTTTATGATTTAGCAAATCTTTTAGAGATTACCTGACTTTTAATACTTAACAGTTGGGAAAGGAAACAGGAAGAATAATTGTAAAGGAAGAATACTTTTGGTTTATATAGGTTTTCTGGCTTTGTGATGAAGATAAACATTTCTGAAAAATGAGAAGTGGCATTAATTGTACAGACTCTGTTTTCTGGATCAGCATAAAGGATAAAATCAATTTAATATTAGTATTTGATTTTGTTTTAGCCATAGTAGGGACATGGTATTCAAATGACCCCACACTTAGACCTCTTGCCAATTATACCACTGACTTTCTTAGCCTTTAATCTTTAAAACCTGGGCCAATGAGACTTTTGTTCTACCTATTTATGCCTATTGAATAATCTAGTTTTATATTTAGTCTCATGTCCCTGCTAGAATGCAAGCCCTACAAAGTCAGGAAAAAACTTTTTTTAATCCCTGTTTTATCCCTAGTGCCTAGAACATCTGGCACAGTTAAACACTCAATATTGATTTAAAGAATGAAGCCTCATATCCTTCTGCACACCACAAAGCCTCTGAAAGCAGAAGTAAGGGGTGAGCTTGTATGTAGATTACTGCTTTCTCTGCCAACCTCAAGTCCTCCTTTAGAAGTCAAGAGCAGCCCAGATGCTACAAGACTGATCCCTGCAGACAACCACTGGGTCAAGATAGGGTTTCTGTTTTTCTCTATGTATATGAATGGAATTACTAAAAAGTAAAATTTGTGGTTTTGAAAATAAAACAAAACAAGAATAAAGTCAAAGTTGATTATTGAAATACTGAATAAAGACCAACTAAGAAAAGAGAGAAATAACATTAGGATGAAAAGGAAATTTGAAACTACAAATAGGTACTGAGAATTATTGGAATACTGATGCAAGTTTATATCAATAACTTTTTAATCTAGAATTCTAGATAAAGGAGTTGGTATGCTAAAAATTTCCAATTTCCAAAATCAACTCAAGAAAAAATAGAAAAATATTATGAAATCAATAACCCTATTACAAATACAAATATTTTTCAAAGATCGACCACTAAATAAGCTCTCAAGCTTAATTTTATAGGTCAGTTGTGTACAACTCACAAAGATCAGATGATTCCTATGTGATTCTCATTATTCTACAGCGCAGGAAAAAAAATGATCGAAAACTTCCAATTAATTTTTCAAAAATAACATATAACCCAAATTCCAAGAGAGAATAAAGAAAAAATTATTTTTAATTCTCATGAACATAGACATAAAATCTTGAATAAAATATTTACAGCACAGCAAACAGGTTTATTACTGTGCAATGGAAAATTATGACACCTTTCTCTTAACTTTCTTCATCTGTTCTATTTTTTCCACTTCAATTCCCTTACTGTGTTTATTATACTATATTGTTTTTCATTTCCCTACCAGAATGTAATGCTTGGATTTTATTTACAGGATTTTTATTTTATTCACCGCATCTACTGCCTGGCATATATGCAGGCTCTATTTATTGAATGCACAGTCTTATGAAACAGGTATTCCTATTAGCTAGATTTTACCTTATGAAGAGGCTGGAACCATGAGAATCTGCCTATGGTCACTCAGTACAAGGGAGAGATAGGATTTGTAAGCAGCGGACGTGACTCCACGCCACATAACCACCGCAACTGCAAGGTGCCTCTAATTTATGTGGTGAATCACACAGGTACCATTTAAGCCAGCGGTTCTCAACCTGTGGGTCGCGACCCCTTTGGCGGTCCAACGACCCTTTCACAGGGGTCGCCTAAGACCATCCTGCATATCAGATATTTACATTACGATTCATAACAGTAGCAACATTACGTTATGAAGGAGCAACAAAAATAATTTTATGGTTGGGTCACAACATGAGGAACTGTATTTAAAGGGCCAGAAGGTTGAGAACCACTGCTTTAGGCTGTTTCCCACATTACACAGTTCCTTCCCAGCAGGGGATACTTCATTACCTTTGTCCTCTGACTGGCAATGTCTGCCCATGTTACACATGCAATAATTATTGGCAAAATAAGTGAACGCATACATATATTGATTACCCAATCATTTTTACATGTATGCCTCAACTGGCTAGATTATTTAAGCTTTCCGAATTTTAAAATTGATTTTTAATATAAAGTTCCTGTCTTTAAAATGTAGTGATGCAAAAAAAAAAATACTTTATTTGAATTGAGAAAAACATGGCTAAGTAGTTTAATTAAAGGATATGTATCCTATGCTCTTTCCTCCAAAGTGGTTTTTAAAGCTTTATTCAGCGATAGCATCTATTAAGCAAAAAACTCCAGAAACAGCTATTCGACTCATTTCATGATATACACATGCATAATAATAATGATCTTTGATCACAAACCGCAAACGACTGTGGCATTTCCACAGACACCGAGACTTAGAAAACAATCAATCATGCCAGGCAAAACAGACATCTGCACTTACAAAAACTGACGCTAAGAACACCCCCGGAGCAATGCCTGGCCCAGGAGCCACTCGCAGGAAGCTTTCCCGAGTAAGTTTGACGACGATCGTCAAAAAATCCCAACGGCCGTAAGTTTACAGTGAGGAACAAACATTCCTGGGAGGAAGGGCTGGGCATGTGAGAGATTTTAAAACGACACCCCTCCCAGGCCGCCTCGAAACCTAGAGCCCGAGTTTCTCGTCCTCAGAACTCCTCACCGTTTCTATTCTAGGGGGACGCGACCATTCCTCGGGCAGAGGCTAGTGCACAAAGGAAAAACGGGCCATCCAGCGCGAAGGCCGAGGAATCGAACGGAACTACGGCGCGCTGACCGACAAGGACCCCTGGTGTCCAACCGCCCCTTCACAGAGAGCCGCAATCGCACTTCTCGCGAGATTTCTCGTCTTTATGGGATCGCGAAGATGAAACCTCGCGGCTTTTCAGATAAAGTGTCCGACGGGACAGCTCCTAGCCCACTTCACGGAATCTTCGAGAGCCTTGACCTCGCAGCCCCTATTCCCGTACCTTCCATCCTCTTCTCCCCCACCCCCTCCCACCTTTCAGTCCTAGGGACTTCCGGAGCTAGACCGGAACCGGAAGTTTCTGGACGCGAGGGGGTGGGGCCGAAAAAAATCAAAAAAAGCGCGGTGAAAACTGGAAACCCAAACTGGCCGGGTGGTGGTGACTCCCTGGCGGTCCCGTGGCGGCTCCTGATGGACTCCACCGCCTGCTTGAAGTCCCTGCTCCTGACCATCAGTCAGTATAAAGCCGTTAAGTCGGAGGCGAACGCGACCCAGCTTTTGCGGCACTTGGAGGTGAGGGGCTCCAGCGGCGAGTGCGAGATGGGCTTCCCCGTAGTAGCAGTTAGTGCGCGGTGTAGCCGGGGTGTAGCTGCCGCAGTTTAGGAACGAAAGGGCTGCTTCCCCCGTCCTCAGCTGTCTTTTTGTTGGTAAAGAAGGCGGGTGAGGGTCAGCCTCGAGTCCCACCCTCCGCTGCCCCGCCCCCAGGCCTCCAGGTTCTTTCAGTTGCCTCGGGAGGGAGTAGTGGCTGCTGAAAGTCCCAGGACCAAAGGTTGGGGAATTTAGGCTGTGCTGGGGGTTGGTGGAGGAGAGAGCTCAAGCCTGTACCTTTTCCCTTTTTAAAAAAAAAAAACAAATTAAATGTTTATTGTTGAACGTATTCCATGTGTTCCCCTTTTTCTTTTGGTTTTTCCATCGTAACAGTCCTGACAATATCCAGTAATTCTCGGGAGTGAAGGTGATGGGGCGTGATGACTAAAACTTGTTTTATCCTTGTCCCTTAAGCGGTTTACAATCTAAACCTGTTCCTTACTGCTTTTATTTTAACTCATGTGGAACTCGAACTTGAAAAATATTATTTCAACTTCCTCTGGATTAAGAAGCAATTTCACTTACTAATAATCCTAAACTTTTTTTCTTTCCCAAAACAGATGGCTCACAATTTTTCAATCCTAAAATACTGAATTGCTTTCATTTTTGTCTATTAGTTCCCACTGATTTGTGTCTAGAGTACTTATTCCATATTATAACTTTTTTTGCTCTTAATCTGCTGTCATTTATTATGCATTAATGGGATTCCAACTAACTGACCTCTTAATAAAAAATAGTTAAGCTCAATCAAATCTTATTTTAATTCTCTCTGTCACTGCTTCTGTTAACATAGAATTGAACCTAATTTTAAAATAGATTCTATTTGTTATATTAACCCTGTGATAGAAGCTTAAATTACCAAAGATTAGCAAAATGACAAAGAGAAGACTGTTAATGGTACAGCAACATCAGTTTTTGGTGCAACGGGAGTGCGTTAAATGTGTCCTCATTCTCAAATTTCATTGATGCTCTCCTTACTACTTCAGGTGCCCATCTCCTAAGTACATTATTTTTTTCATTCATTACATCAACAAATTTCTGCAAACCTAATAATGATGGTGTTAGCTGTTAAATGCTAATACTTTACTTCTCAATTAGGATAGAACAGTGTGCTAAGTAGATCCACAAAGCCACAAAATAAGCAGGGTTGTTAGTTTAATTTTAAGATAAAGGAATTAACTATTTTAAATATCCATTTGAAACATTACCTGTCTTTGAGAATAAACAGGTATGCTGTGAATCTAAGCACCATGTTATGGTGAACTGAAGGAGACTTAAAGAAATATGAAGCTTAAGGACTTGACACTAGACTTTCAAGGGATTTATTGAAAAGTCTTGTACCGTTTAGAGAACTAACATATATTCAGTGTATAATGTGCAATAATGTTAACTAAAGAAATAGCTTCATAATTTTTTTTAATGTTTTTATTGATTTCAGAGAGGGATGGAGAGGGAGAGAGTTAGAAACATCAATGATGAGAGAAAATCATTGATTGGCCACCTCCTGCACTCCCCCCGCCCCCACCTGGGAACGAGCCCACAACCCAGGCAAATGCCCTGACCAGGAATTGAACCTCAACATCCTGGTTCATGGGTCTATACTCAACCATTGAGCCACACTGGCCGAGCCAGAGTTTTGTGTGTTTTTTTAATATATGTGTATGCTCAAGTAGCTACCATCTGTATCATAATATAGAATATTTCTAATGTTTTTTTAAATTGTCCCCTCAAAAAATTCAGTAACTGAACTTACACAATACATACTTTTGTAGCTGACTTCTTTCACTAAATATAATCTGAAATTCATTAATGTTGAACACTTTACTCTTTTTGATTACTTTGTAGAATTTCATTTTGTCAATTCAACAATTTATTTATATTCTTTTTTTTTAATATATTTTATTGATTTTTTACAGAGAGGAAGGGAGAGGGATAGAGAGTTTTTGAAACATCGATGAGAGAGAAGCATCGATCAGCTGCCTCCTGCACACCCCTACTGGGGATGTGCCTGCAACCAAGGTACATGCCCCTGACCGGAATCGAACCCGGGACCCTTCAGTCCCCAGGCCGACGCTCTATCCAGTGAGCCAAACCGGCTAGGGCTATTTATATTCTGTTGATGGGCATTTGGGTTGTTTCCAGTTCTGGGTAGAATTTGAAAAATGTGTTGTAAGTACTTTCATACTTTTTTTGTTGATATGTGCATTCATATCTTTTATATACCTAGAAGTAGAATTGTTAGGTTTCACAGCTATGTTCAATTTCAGGTGAAATTGCCAAGCAATTTTTCACAGTGTTATACCATTTTACCCTCGCACCAGCAATATGTGAAAATTGCCATCCTTCATCCAGAGCAATCCTTGGTGTTTTCAGATTTTTAAATTTTGACCATTTTCGTGATATTAAGGGTGACTATCTTTGTGCAGATCTCATGAAAGCAGCACCTGAAGATACAAAGAGAGATTGTTATTCTGTGAAAGGAGATTGACTATTCATTCTGCTATTCTGCTGCACTTCTGCTAATTTTTCTTTATAGCCCCAGGCAGAACCTGAGATTTGAATTATTTTTTGATTGGGAGAGCTGAACTGGTCTCAATCTTGCTGGTTTTTCATAGCACTAATCTTATGTAATGATTATGAGCATTGATTCAGGAACAATGAATCCCAATTAAGCTACTGTAGATTGTGCTTCAGTTTACTCATCTGTAATAATTTTCTGTAAATTGCAGATTATTATGAATATGAAAAGAATTAACATACACAATGTACCTAGGCCAGAGCAAGTGCTAAAGTATTAGTTATCATTAAAGTAAATTGTATTTACATAAAACATTCTATGTGTATAAATAAAGAAAATTTATAAAGCATTTTTAAAATTTATTACATGTTAGAATACATGTTGTTATTTTAACCCAGGTCCAGTCCTGAGGGAAACTATATTTAAAGCAGAAAATGTCTTCATCTTCTAAAAGGCTAGCTTTATAATAGGCAAAAGGACAGTGCTCAGAAGGTTCCTTATCACAAAATATCTTCTATCAGTATCTCACTTCACCTTTGGACCATTTTTCAGTCTTACAGACTTTTACTTTAATGTTAAAACACATAATCCACAGGAAAAGATATTCTGAAGCTCCTTTATCAGCAAAGCTTTAGAAGAAAGTTTTGACATCTTGGTGAGGGAATAAAGGGACACGGAAAGATTAGAGGGATGCTAAAACAACCTTCTGAGACTTGATCTTTTATTTATTTTTTTAAATTTAAATCCAAAGTATTACATATGTCACCTTTTTCCCCCATTGACCTCTCCCCGGCTGCTCCCACCCCTCAGCACATGACCCCACCCCCCTATTGTCTGTGTCCATTGGTTGTGCTTATATGCATGCATACAAGTCCTTTGGTTGATCTCTTACCTCCCACCCTCCCACCATCCCCTACCTTCCCTCTGAGGTTTGAGGGTCTGTTTGATGCTTCTACATTTCTGGATCTGTTTTTGTTCATCAGTTTATGTTAATTTTATTCCACAAATGAGTGAGATTATATAATATTTATCTTTCTCCAGCTGGCTTATTTCGCTTAACATGATGCTCTCCAGGTGAGACTTGATCTTTTAAAAATAAAAACATTTAGAACAAATTTACTCTAATTCTAAAGTAACTAATTGTTTTTTCTATTTACATAGAAAAGATATGTTTATTAATGAATAACATTCAAAAAGCATTTTGAAAATACATGTTGTTTGACAACTATTTTGTGCCTTCAATCCCAGCTTTACCTTTCAAGGGGGTAGGGTAAGATGGTAAGAGAGGAGTAAAAAGTAGAATATCCAAAGATAAAATTTGTCTATGCCTGACCTGGCTACTTAAAAAAATTGTTTTTTTAAATTCCTCTTTGGTAATGAAGTCATCATGGAGTGTTCAGTGTAGTAGGGAGGATAAATATTGCTAGGTCATTAAAAGTTTGCAAGTTTATGAAATAAAAGTATAATGTACTGTAGGATAGAGTAATAGGCAAACCTAATGTAGTTGATAGAAGAGGGTTAGAAAAAGTACCTGGAGGAAACAAAGCTGAAACCCAAATGATTACATTAGCCAGTGAGAGAAGGGATAGGTAATTCATCTGCTCAGCACAGGTATCAGCATGTATGAATTTTCAAAATTGGGGGAGTGGCAGTGGCATTTTGGAAGAACTGAGTTTTTTATTTGAAATAAGAAAGAGATGAAAACTGCCAGTTATTAAAATACATTTTTTTTATTGATTTTTAGAGAGAGAAAGAGAAACATCTTT